TACTACAACAAGCTGCCCCAATGTGTGCCAATCTTTCATGGACGTACATGTGTAAAGAAAACAAAGTAAATAAAAGGCATTGAGCTTATAGGATCCAATTACCTTGCTGTCGTGCATGAATATGATCTGGTGAGCTATGTATGCATGTCATGAGCTAAGTACATAATTATATAACATATGTAAGCAAATGTTTAAGACATAGGAGCTAAAATGAATACACATGAGCTAACAAATGAATGATTAAGCATGCTGCCATTTCATGAATGTAATGAATCATGCTTAAATGGATGCAAGGCTAATCTAACATACTTAACATACTTGAAATAATAATGTGCATCAATCATAAAGATGTGGATATGCTAAGTTACTCTTTAGCTATTAATTTACATAACTAATAACCTTAGCATGATATGTATGATTATGATATAGATAATAATAATATAAAGTAAGTAAAACATTAAAAGGTTTAAGAATACTCCTTTTGCATGTGGTGAAAAAGTGTTTGCATCAGCCATGAGACACAAGTGAGCTACTTATTCTTCCTCTTCGTTGGATAACTCATCATCACTCCATGTAGCTACATGTGTTTTGTTCTTCTTCTTGGAGGATCACTTCTTCGTTAATTATGGGCAATCAAATTTAACATGCCCCAGCTTTTCATTCATAGCAAATTATGGGGTAATTCTCATTGGATTCATTCTTGAAGCTTTCTTTTCTTTAAAATCTTCTTCCTTTGTTTGACTTCATGAAACGTTTGAATCTTTTGGCAAACATTTCCATTTCTTCATCTTCATCTTCATCATTTGAGTCACTCTCATCTTTAGTGGATTTTAGAGCAACCCCAATCTTTTTCTTCTTTTCCATTTCCTTATTTTATTCATATTTCTTTTCTTGATCTTCTTCTTCTTTTACCATCATTTCATGAGTAAGCAAAGACCAGTGAGCTCGTCCAAGGTGAGAGTCTTTAGATTCTTTACTTCAACTATGGCGATCTTCTTGGATTTACATGACTTGGGAATGTTGTAGATCATTTTCTAACTACCTTATCATTTGGAATATCTTCTCCAAAGCCTTTGAGACCATTGATAATAATCGAAAATCGATCGGTCATAGATTTTATGTCTTCATCCGGCCTCATCTTGAAGTTTTCGTAGTTATGATTGAGAAGACTAGTTTTAGTTTCTCTTACCTCATTTGTACCTTCATGAGTAACTTCAAGTTTGTCCCATATTTCCTTTGCATTGGAACAAGATGATACTCTCCCATATTCATCGGGCCCAAGTGCACAAAATAGAATGTGCATTGCCTTTGCGTTGAGCTGGAACGTCTCTTCTCTTCTTCACTCCACATCTCCATATCTCTAGTTGGAGTAAATTGACCTTTCATTATGATGCTCCATGCTCCCAAATCACTAGCTTGAATAAATAACTTCATCCTATTCTTACAATAGGCATAGTTGGCTCCATTAAAGTATTAAGGCTTGTTGATGGGTTGAAAATCACAAACAATTTCGAAATTTGATGAAGAGGCCATTGATGACTTTGATGACGATTGAACTCCTTTAGAATCTTCTCAAGAGGTGGTTAAACCTTCCAATATGTCTAGCTTTGATACCAATTGTTAAGTCAATCGAATGATGAAATAGCCAAGAGGGGGTAAATTAGCAATTAAAATTTTATTGAAGCTTAAGAGAAAAAATTTAAAACGAATGAACACAAGAATTTAGAGTGGTTCGAGTTTATCAACCAAAGTCTACGTCCACTGTCTTAGCTATCCACACTAAGGATTTTCACAAATTCACTAATTTGTATCTACCTTTGAGGATAAGGTGTAACATTACAACTCCCTCAAGAATTCTACCTCAAATTCTTGAGACACTCTTTCAAAGAGAAAAATTACAAATTTGCAAATTTATAAAAACCTCACAAGGAATGTGTTTGCACAATTCAAGAACAAATAAGAACACTTGAGAAATGAATACAAATGAGTACAAGTAATGTTCTTTGAAAGAAAAAAGAATATTTGAAGAATATTGACTTGATTTAGCTCACACTTGAAGTTTTTGGCTTTCTCTCTTGTTTCTTGTCATCACAAATGGCTTGGTATCTTGTTCATATACTCCCTCAATCAATTCCAACTGTTTGCGTTGTTGTGGGAATGAATAGAGCTGTTGGGGGCAATTTTTCCGCATTAAATGTTGCTCAAAAGCTATTGGTATCGATACTATATCTATAGTATCGATACTATCTGCAATAAATACAAAAAAATTGATCGTTGTAAAGCAATGGTATCGATATTTTCTCAAGGAGTATTGATACTACTATATAGAGTAGTATCGATACCAGAGAATGGTATTGGTACCATTTTGAGATTCTATAAAATATTAGAGTCAATACCAAAGGAGTAATATCGGTACTGAAACCATAGTATCGGTACTGCTATATTGCTTGGTATCGATACCATGCATGGTATCAGTACCATTTTGAGATTCTATAAGCACGGTATCGGTATTGCCTTAGCAGTATCGATACTACCATATTAAAATTGAGTTTTTGACTCGATTAAAGTTTGAAACCTTTAGCAAAAATTCTTTCAAAATTATTTCCAGTATAGATCTCAATTTTTCATTAAGGAGTAAAAATCGATGTTTTAAAAATTTAAGTAATAATTGTGTATATTCGAATAATTGAATCGAATATAATCTTAAAATTTATAAAAATTAATTTACAAAATTGTTTAGTATATCAAAATGTTTTCAACAAACTCATATTAATATTTTTATAAATGAAATATTTTATTAAAAATATATTATCAATACTTTTTAACATGTGAATTTAAAATTATTATGAAATAATATTTTAAATATTTTTTTGACAAAAAGAATATTACAAAAAATACATTAGTGCTTGCAAATTACAGTGAATTTTTATATATAAACCATGAATTTTATTTACTTTTAAGTAATTAAAATAAATTATTAAATAATACATTGTTTTTTAAGGATGTTAATATAAAATTATTAAAATAAACTTTAAATACATAATTGAGTGGAGCCCATGCATTAGTAAGGGTAAAATTATAATTTGTTTCCTAATGCAAAGTTGAAAATGAAAAAACTACAAATCATAGCTTTTGCGGTTGGGAAACAACTATTTCTACCGGATTTTTTTTAAATTTTTTACCAAGCATTAATTTTGCGGTCAAAATGAGCTTTTTACCTAAAAGTGCGTTTAAAAAGCCACATGAAACGGGACCTGAGTTTTTCTGATAAGGTTTTCAATGAGGCAACGCATTACGTGTATAAAGAATATATATGTATATTATTCACTATAGCAAAATAGGTTTTTAGCGGAGTTTTTAAGCGCCGCTAAATACTTTCCCAGCATATGTAAAAATGTCGCAAGAAGCGTTGCTAAAACTAACACCGCAAAAGGTAACGACGTTTGTGAACAAAAAATGCTACAAAAGGTCTAGCTCTATAGCGACATTTTTCTTAAAAACACTGCAAAAGGTCAAGCTCTATAGCAACATTTTTCTTAAAACGTCGTAAAAGGTCAAGATCTATAGCGGTGTTTTTAAGAAAGTGTCACTAATTACCTTATCTTTAGTGGTGTTTGTTTTCTAAAATGTCTCTAATGTTATGATATTTAGCGGCGTTTTTGTTAAAAAAACACCTCTATTAACTATGTATATAGTGGTTTTTTTACAAATGCCACAAATATGTGGCCATTAGTGACGTTTTCTTCACAAAATGCCGCAAAACAACCTGGCTTCTGGTGGCTTTTATTTACAAACGCCACTATAGTTAACTGATTTCGCATATATCATTTTCTACTTTATATTACGTAAAATTAATATTCTATAGCATTATCTAATAACAATAAACTTAAAATTTAATTACAAAACAAATTATGTTGAAAAATAAATCAAAATTTATATAATTAAATTAAAATGTAACATAGTTCAAAATTGTTCACTAGAGTTTAGTCTAGGTTCTTTCTCTTTCAATTAAAAAAACATTGTTCACTAGAATAAAAAACAATCTTCTAGTGGCAATTTGTATTAACCTGCAACTTCAGTTGATTATTTACATCAGGAATGTACCTTCAATTCAAACAAAAAATGAAAACAATAGATTCAGAGACAATATATTACAAGAAGATAAACTAGAAGAAAAAACATGATTCTAAACAATATTACCTCCTCCAAATTTCTTGCCTTCAGGATCCATGTGTTAATAATTCATGAAATATGTACTATCATAAAGTGCAAATTTTTAGTCAAAAGTCAGGGAAAATATCCATGAATATCAACTCAAAACATCTATAAAGGTTAAATAAAGATTCACATGCAGCATGCTACATAGTGTAAAAGGGCTACAACATATTAAAACTAAAAATGCATGCATACATATGGTAAGTACATCTCTTATACACTTTGTTGCCCTTTTGTTTCGCACTTGTACAAATAACAGGCAGCTTACAGTTCCAATGCTAACTTTCACATCAAATATAGTTCTCTAATGTAGCAATTAATTTTCCCCCTCATCTTTTCTACAATTTATTTATATTAAAATAATCATATCACAAGTACCAAAAGATATGCACATTAGGGAAAAAGATATGTGAAGTAAATCTGATGAAGACCAACTTGGTAATCAGCTAAATGTTTGTTTTCAGATCAAAATGCAAAATAGAGGCAAAGCCAGGATTGATATTTGCATTGAACATGTCAAAGCACCAATAGCCTCAAACATATGGATTCAGTATAAGGAAAATGACACTAACTTTAAAAACTACATTACCCCGGTTAAACTTTTGACCATACCTTTGTATTAATTTCCAAAACAAGATAAATAATAGCATATGTAACTTTCAGAATAAATTATAAATTCCTAGTTAACGTTTACTATTGAAAGTTTGTAATGATAAATTTTGATTGGGGATTTCTCTCTTGTTATTTTTTTAGCATGTGTATAATATTATACATGCTGGTCTTACCTGTGACTTGATGCAGGAAGACTTCTGTAGTTTCCCAGTCTTCTGTAATGATACAATCAGTATGTGCACTGCAAATGGAGGAAAGAAACATCTGCATATGGACACAAGAGACAATGTTATACAAAATTCAGCAAGAATACCAGCCAAATATACAAAGTTCTGTGGAATCAACATGGATGATAAAATCACACACATACACAACAGTTTATTGCGATAGAAAAAGATTCTACAACAGAGGTATAAAATAATGAAACCACCAATGTCACTAATCCAAAAATATCCCTAAAAGACTATCTAATATTTAATGTACTACAAACGAAAAGAACTTATTTTAAGCATAAGAAGCCATGCTAACTACTCCAAATCCACGACCTTAATCCTTTTCTTTGAGATACTCTTCACTTAAAAGTTATGCTTTTCTCCTTCAGAAGAGAAATTTCCCAAGTCACAACTTTAAAAGACATTGTTAAATAACACTATTCTAATTACATGCTATCAGATATAATAGGCAATCGTTTAAGCAAAATTCACTTATCAAGTTTAATGATTAAGAGAGTGAGAGCTTAAATTTCTCATTTTCAATATATAACTTAAATAATATTTACTTCTCAACGTCTAAAAATCTGTTAATCAGTTGCCTAAAGTTGGTGTCTCCTTACATTAGAAAAACCAATTTGAACTCCAATCATTGACACCACCGAGATGTCACATTGTAAACACCTTGAGTCTGTTAGGATCTAGCATCTCTAGTCAAAGATTAAAATCTAAATCCACGAAGCACCAAAATCTCAGACAGTCCACAACTTTGTTCATGGTAAATATTCATCGTCTGTTATGAGCTTCTTAAATGCATTCATAGTTCTTAGGTTAAGCTGTTGTTCTCACCTCCAACACATTATAGGCCACGTAGAGTTTGATAGTTCCTAGCCCACGAATCATGTGATATATTAAGCTAATATCTGGGAAGCAAAAACTAAAATTAGAAGAAAAAAAAGCTTACGCAATCAGTATCACTTATTTGAGAGAAATCTAGAAAATTAAATAAACAAATTATATATGCAACGAAGATTGAAATCCTTGTGGACAAGAAGAGTTTCCTGAAGTAAAAGTGAATCATTAAAGAACTATGCAATGTGCTGAACACGATATGAAAATATTCAAACATAATATAGCCTCAAAGAATAAATTTCAGAAATAAATAGACAAATGAATAATAAATTACCATTGCATTGCAAGCAGCTGGATAATCTATTTTTGCATCCAAAACAATCTGCTTCATCATATCCATATTAACAGACTTATCAATATATATATGGCATATTCCATCTGAAACATACAATATACTTTCACCACATGAGAAACTAGGCTCGAATCCGGCCAAGCCCATGAACACCACTACATTAAGAGTTTAGGACAAGCATATATAAGACAACAGTAACCTATCTAACCTGAATGACCCAAAAAAATTGCTAATTGGAAAAACAATACAAAGAAAGATTCACCATACAGTACGTCAAACACCCAAAAAAAAGTAACACAACCATATGTAAATATAAAAGTAACCTTAGATACATCACACAAACCTAGTCAGTTAAAAACATGAGAGGGTTAGATTAATGTATTGAATTTATGTTCTTGCTGAGTTCTTCCAGCTTATTCATCCTCAACTTTTCACTTTCACTCACTAGCTGTTCAATCAGTTAAAACATATAACAACAATTTTTTTGCATATTTTGAATTCAGTTTTGACATTACAATATAGAAACTAACCTCCATTAATTTGGTGAGGAGTTGTACTTTCTCTTTTTTCTTATCGTTAAACACCTCCGGGGCTTCCTCGTATTCCCTTTCCTGTAACATATTTCAATACCATGGATTTTAAATACTTAATACTCTCTGTATAAAAACTGAGGACACAACTATTCCAACTCGGATGTGAACAACTCAGATGCTTTAGGGAGAATAACATTACTTTCGATGAATTTTAAAAAATGTTGAATGGTCTCAAAGTGTGGTGAATTTGTACCTTTTCCTGGCAGGTATTCCCTAATGGTTTCAATTATTTCTTGACTGCATCGATCTTCTTCCTCACTATGACAACTTCCTTTCTCATGGGATCTGCCAGTGCTTCAAGCTCCTGAAAGATTTACATGGTTTTATAAGGCACTCTTTAATAGCTATGATGGAGGAAAACACATAAAATGCTAAACTTGAGACACCTTTTTCCATAATTTTCGAATCCATCCCAAGATCATGAATTTCTATCACTATGTGAGCCTATAAACTCTGAATTTTGCAGAAATTGAGTCTTAAAGTTTTAAGCTTTTCAAGTCAAAACAATGGGAGAAATGTAAAATTTTGTTTAAAGTTACCTCACGAATCATGGTTAAACGTTTAGTTTCCTCTTCAACGCGACCTAACTGAAGTTGAACTTTCTCTCGAATATCCATATAACCTGCATTTTATATTCAACTCACTCACGCTTCTATACCAGTAAAAAGAATACAAAAATATTTTCAAACTCAAATAAAAACCAAAACCTCGCAAAATTTAAAACTAAAAAGGAAAGAAGAAAAATTGAGCTGTGAAATGAAGAGTGAGAGAAAAAGGTTGGAAGAGAAGGGACATGGAAAGGAATTGAAGAGAGTAAAAGGGTAGAAATGGTAGATCAGAGAAAGTTCAAGAGAATTCTAAAGCAAGCAGAAGAAGAAAGCTGGAACTTTTAGGTGTTTCTTCTTCTTCTAGGGTTCGGACAGAGAAGAAAGACAAAGCTAATAAAATTTCCCCCTTTTGTAATCATCTTCAGGTTTTTGTGGGTCCTTAGCTTGGCTTCTTTCGCTAGATCTCGGGGTTTCATCATCTTGGATTTGTATTTCAGGTACATCTCTAGAAAAAAATGAAAAAGGGTTAAAAAGAGTGTGGGACTTAGAAACTATAACTTTACGGTATTTGTATTTACAAACACCACTAATGTACTGATAAATTACGGCGTTTATTCAAAAAACGCCACTAAAGTACGAGTCTTTGGTGGGGTTTGTATAAAAGCGCCACTATAGTATGAGTATTTGGCGGAATTTGTATAAAAACGCCACTAAAGTATGAGTCTTTAACGATATTTGTATAAAAATTCCACTAAAGTATGGGTCTTTAGCGGCGTTTATATAAAAATGCCACTAAAGTACAATATTTAGCATTGTTTATATAAAAACGCCACTGAAGTACGAGTATTTAATGGTGTTTGTGCTTAAAACGCCGCTAGTACAATATTTAGCGGCATTTATACAAAAACTCCAATAAAGTACAATATTTTGTGGCGTTTATATAAAAACACCACTAAAATACAAGTATTTACTAGTATTTGTTCTAAAAACGCCGCTAAAAACCCATTTTGATGTAGTATTTTTTCCTTCATTAATATTTTTCCCATGAGGATTTTATCTTAGTTAGGTTCTAATCAACACATTAACTTTGTATACATTCAATGAGGAGCGTTACAAATATTTATTTATATGGATGTATATTATGATTAGAACATTATCATAGTTAGGCACTATGATTAAGTGAATAAAATGACATCATTTTGGAATGGTTACTGATGACTAAGACAACATCGTTTTAGGCATTGAACTTTATGAGTATATAGATTTTGCCACTAAACTTTAAAAGCTTCAGTTTTTGGCACTAAATTTTTTGACCCCCGTTGGATGCCAATCATTCCCATCACCGATTATCTTTCGCAATAAGATTAGTATAAAAGGTTCTTGTTTCACTCCTCTTTCTGTTTATAAGATTGTTTTTAAAGAGAATCACTCAAAATTGATGAAAATTTGTTTAATGTTCGACGTGGTAATACTTCGATATCATCTGATGGTTATCTGATAAGGCTAGATTTGAGGTATATTTATCGTCTTCTTGAAATGATGCTTCTCATCATTCAGATTTTTGAACAAACACCCTAACCCACTCAAATATGAGAAAACCCTTAAACTGTTAAAAATGATGATTTTTTTTGTTTAATTTCAATGATTTTTAGTAGGTTTTGTGGAAAACCACTCCTAAAATTGAAAGATGGGTGAAATATGAACGTTTTGGTACTAATCTTCTCGCAGAAGATGATGGGAGGGATTGGTTATTTATAATGACAGAAAAAGTCCAATGCTTAAAAATAAATTATTTAAAAGTTTAGTGGCAAAATAAATACACCCTAAAGATTAATTCCTAAACAACGTCGTTTTAGACATCAATAGTCACAACAAAACAATTATGTTTTGTTCATGTCATCACACATTTTGGATTTTAACAGACAAGTGATATAATTGAAATCAAAATTAAGATTTAGTGCTATAATTAAAAATTTAATGGCATAAATGATACACGTCTAAAGTTAATAGGATCTAGTGTAATTTATAGTTTGATATAAATATTATCTTTGTTAAAATATAACAAAAACTCAAAAGTTGATCTAGTACTTCAACTTTAACATTAATCTTTAAAGGATTTGAATTTAAATATCTCCAAACATAATATTTCAATTATTTGATTTTGTTTTAATGTAACAGTGGTTGGGGACGAAACCAGGATTATATATTGGGAAAAACAATATTCTAAGAAATTATTATGTATTTAATCTGAAATTTTAAGGGGAGCAAGTCTAATTTTACTTAAATTTAAAATGATAAGGACCTAATCTTATTAAATAAAATATTTTGGGAGGGACCAATCCCTATATAGCTTCGTCCCTGGAAATCGTGTCAAGTGACAATACATCCATCACAATCAACAATAATATCATCAAATCCATGAAACAAACACCATAAAATGGAAAGTAGGGCTATAAGCGAGTCGAGTTGAATTCGAGTAGTGTTGAGGAGGGATGGGCATGAGTTGGGTTGGTTCGAATTTTTGGTCAAGCCAACCCGATCAAAAAATTATACACCCATTTCTCACATACGTTTTCGTATACGAGACACAGATGTCATATTACTCTTAAAAAAATTCCTCTTTTGAAAACCAATAAAATTTTGTTTCTTTTCATAAAACATTTTAATTTAATAATAATAAAACACTCATTAAACTTTATTATGTAAACAAAAATCTAATGTTCAAACATTTTATCTTTTTACATCATTATAAACCAAATACTTTTCAAAGCGTTATCATAATTCTATTACATGCCGACAATATTATCAAAAATAGACATAGCTGTCGCACAGTTACTGATGAGGCGACTCTTGATTTCCAATGTCAGATGCACTCCTTACTCTGCTTGCTAAAACCTACGCGTAAAATAAATACACGTTAAGTATTTACTTAGTGAGGTGTAATAACAATGAGGTAAATGTTCTTTTAGAAAATCCATATACCATAACTATCAAAATATAAATTGATATTTCAACTCATTATAAATTTAGTGGTTTTCACACACATGTGCGGATACGATAATTCACAAACTCATTGTGAATTACGTGGGGTGCACACATAGTGCCAATACGGATATTCATATACTAATTATGAATTTCTTAGGTTGCACACATATTGCCAATACGGAAATTCATAAACTTATTATGAATTTCTTAGGTTGCACACATAGTGCCAATACGGAATTCATAAACTTATTATGAATTTCTTAGGTTGCACACATAGTGCCAATACGAAAATTCATAAACTTATTATGAATTATTAGGTTGCACACATAATGCTCATTCGGTAAATACAATACAACATTAAGCAAAATGCATCTATGACTATCATAACATATAAGTACATAATTAATGTACTCACCTTTTATGCCTCAATAGGATGCCTTACTGATGTTCGACTAATCGACAACTTTATCTTTGCCATTTTTCTTGCTAGACTCATGAGCTTGATTTTGATCTACACAAGTATCCATAATTATACATACAATACAAATATTAGTATACTTCCTAACATTTATACTTATAATAATACTCAAAAGTACTATTATTTCCAAATTCTATTAAATTTCATCATATCTTAACATTTCAGGCTGACTGGAATCGGTACCCCTCCTATGGTATCGATACTTTTATACTATGGTACTGATACTCCCTTTCAGTATCGATACCATTTACGTATTCTGGAATCCATGGTATTGATACCTTTCTTTTAGTATCGGTACCCACATCAGTATCGATACTAATTGTATTAGTATCGATAATGTTCATCATATTTCTTCAAATTTAAACCTATAGTATCGGTATTGTTCTTACAGTATCGATACCCTTACCCAGATTTTCTATTTTTTAGCTCGATTTTTACCCAAATTTCGTCAAATTCCCTTACTTTTACCTCCAACAATACTATTAAGCTCTTTTTTACTTATCTCAACTAACTTTCCTTCATTTAGCTTCTTATAATATCTAAAATCTCCAAAGAACATCTCCAACCAAGAATCATACTACTTTTTCTAACATGTTTTTAATCACATCCAAGGCTTCTAATCTCTTATCTACTTCTTTGACAAGTCAATTATGCTTGTAAACATTAATAAAGACTCATATTTCAACAAATCACTTAAAAACTAATTTTCTTCAATCTCCAATATGTCATCCATTTATTAGTTTTAATCTTCTTTAAACCTTCCTTAAGCTTCCATCACACTTAAGGCTTCAAGAAAAAACCAAAAGCGAAAGGAAAAACTAGCTAAATGAAGCCTTACCTTTGGTTATGGAGGAGAGCACGAGCAACAGGGGAGGAAGAAGAGAACTTAGCTTGTTTATCCCTTTTTCCCCTTCTTCCTTTATTTTAAATATTCTATTAAAAATAAATCTTAAATCCATTTCCCTCTAAGGGACCAAAACACCCTTACAATCTTCCATTCTTACTATTTGGTCTTGATAAAAAAATTTAAATCATTTCTTATACTTTATCATTTATTCAATTTAATCATCCAAACTTTAATTCCTTTCATTATGATCACCGATCGGATACTTGGGGTATTACAACCCAACTCGAACTCGATCCATCATTTTAAGATAAAATCCGAACCCGACCTAACCTGACTCGAAATAATATATTTATAACAAAATATTACTTTTATTCAATAAAAATAAGGATTTAATTGAAAAAAAATGATTAACTACATGATTTATCACTTATCTTTATATTTGATCCACCTTACTCGCTCATTTAAAAAAATGTATGGTCATTTTCGATTATATTTAATTAAGATGTGGTCATTTTTATTTTTATTTAATTAAGATGTGGTCACTACTAGTTAACTATCGTTAACAGTTAACATATTAAGTGACATGATATTTTTGTATAATCACACATTTGGTCTATGTTATTTATATATTCTCTCAATTTAGTCATACTTTTAATAAATTAAAATAAATTTAATCCTTCAATCGAATGATACCACATGTCACTGCTGTCACTATCACCATTCGGTTGGAGGACTAACTTTAATTTAATCTAATATATTTATTTTTCACCAATACTTTGAAAAGTTAGTCCTCCAACCGAATGTGACACGTGGTACTAGTGACACGTGGTACCAATGACACATGGCATCATTCGATTGAAAGATTAAAATTATTTTAATTTATTAAAAGAAGGAAAAAATTAAGAGAATATATAAATAATAGGGACCGATGTGATTATATCAAAATATTTAATGACAGTTAACTCGTGATGACCACATCTTAATTAAATAAATCGAAAGTGACCATATATTATGTTTTTTTAAATCAGTGAGGAAAAGTGGACAAAACACAAACATAAATGATTAATCATGTAGTTAACCCAAAAAATAATATCTACAAAGGTCTCGTGCCCATTCATAGTGTTGAGTTCGATTTGACTCGAAAAGTATAAAACTAAGTTCGACTAGACTAAAAAACTTACGAGTTTAAAATTGTCAATCTCGACTTAAAATAAAAAAATTGAAGTCCAACTCGACTCGAAAGCATATGAGCATAAAATTTACAAATTCAACTTGAAATTAAATAAAAATTGAAGCTTGACCCGAGCTTGAAAAAACTTGAACTCAAAATATTCTTAGACTTAGCTTGATTGAAGCTTAAACTCGAACTCGAACCTAAACCGTAAGTACATGAAAACATTATATTATATTTTTTTTAAAAATAACTTAAATGTTAATATTAATACTAATTTAAAAATATAACATATTGTACTTTCGAGTTACTTGCCAATTTTCGAGTTAGATATTAAGTAGCTCACTTTTAGCTCGTTAAGAATTCAAGTCGAGTTAAAGTTCAAATTGAATCTATTCTATTTAAAAATTGATCAAGTTTAGCATAATTGATATAGAATAACCCACAATCTATCTTTATCATATCATTTACTGCCCTAATGAAAAGTTAATCAAGGAAAGGCAGCAGTACCCTACAAGCAAATATAGTAAGAACTTGATTGCAGAGATGGTGAGCAGCCCAACCACAACTACTTTGTTTTCTTGCGTTGATTTTAATTTTGTTGTCTCCTCCATCAAAATGGACTCTTAACAGAATTAGCTCTGTAAAAATAAATCCAAATCTCATTGCTATATCTGTCGACATTTGTTCTTCAATGTCGTAACAAGTAACGCCTTTCAACTGCCCCCATATGACTTTTCCTTGTCTCTTTTGTTTGCTAGGGTACTGTCCAAATATTTGAGACGTGTACACGTACTGCTTACTCTAATGGCCACAAATTTTAATCTTATTTTGAATGTTTTTTAACTGGAAAATTGCTGAGATAATATAAGTGGCTTTTTTAATTCTCAATATAATTTAATTTAAAAATTATTTCTTCATTTAAGATGGATTGTACAGTATTAAACTAAAGACGTCATATGTTTTATATGTTTTTAAGTTAAATATGAAGATTTTATCTTTTAGATAAATGAAGAATTCTCCACAACTATATGACATTTTTAAATAAATGGAGAAGATTTTAAGACTATATGATATCTTTAAATCAATAAAAGAAATTTAATTTAAGAAATAATATGATAAATGTTTTATATGAGAAAATAATTATTCTCGTAACCGTATATGGGGGAGGGAGCTGTTTTTTTAACATATCATCTCTTTTGTCTTAAGCGACGCCACTAGGAGCTCAGAACTGTTTAAATCAAACTTTACTGCACTATTTTTTTACTCAAAATTTACAAGAACTGTTTGGTCAGGCAACCGAACGGTCCTAATCAAAAGAAAACCTACGGCCGACCAAAGTTCAAGCATAATCTTTTTTTCTTTGATTGTCCCAAAAATAAAAGGAAGGCATTTTTCATTCTTTTTTTTCTTTCGAAAAATGGCTGCAACCACACTCTCCGTCCGGCCGAACCGTCTAATTCCAGGCACCCATATTCCTAGACCACCGGTCAACTTTCCCAACCAAACCCAGCCTTCTTTTAAGCCCGCGAACACCGAGCCTTGGAGAATCGCGACAATCGTCCACGCCCCGCGAATATTAGCCGCTCGAGCTGGTTCACGAGCTGATGACTCCGCTCCGTTTGAGATGTCTGTTGAGAACGCTCTCAAGCTCCTTGGAGTTTCCGAAAGTGCTTCTTTTGATGATATTCTTCGCGCCAAGAATTCGATTGTGGCCTCTATTAAGGATGACCAGGAAGCTATTGCTCAGGTTAATTCCTTGCCATTCATTTTTCAATTTGAGAATTTTCTAAAGTTCAGTAGATTTGGGTAATTAAATATTCAACTTTTTCTTGTCTAAATTTGTTTATTTTGCTACTGTTAGCATTTCCAATCTTCTTTGTTTAAATTTTCAGATTCTTGCATATATTTCTGTTCTCGAAATTGGGGTTTGAGTTTTTTCTTTGTGTCGGTTTTCTGGATTTGATTTTTTTTTTCGTTTTAGAGTAATTAATTTTCTTTACAGCTACCCATCCAAAAAAAGGAAAAGAAAAAAAAAGTGTTCTTTATAGCATGTAATTTGCCATTTGTTACTGTTCTATCTAATTGGATAGTGTTTGATGGGCATTTCACATTTTCTAGATTAGACAAATGCTTGTTACATTGTTTCCATGACGTGAAATTATGATGCTTGTAGGCAAAGAACAAATGTTGATTCCCCCCCCCCCCCCAAAATAAGTATGAACTGTATGTTTTCAGTATCGGCTTGATATGGTTGTTTGTGTTTTTGTTTTAGGTTGAGGCTGCTTATGATATGCTGCTCATGCGGAGCTTAACCCAACGACGTGCCGGGAATGTCGTGGACAGAAGCATTAGATATGCAGATGTTAAACCTGTTAATCCTCCCGGGGTGCGATCAATGCCTCGGTGGGTGCAAACAACTTTGAAGAATTTACCCGTGTCAGTTGAAACTCCAGTTTCAACTGAATTGGGCATACAAGCCAGTGTGTATGGGGCTCTTATGGTTCTAACTTATGTGAATGAGTCCTCTGTGATTCCTTACGCCGGACCTGATGTTCCGGGGCTTATCTTAGCAAGTAGCTTTGGAGCTTCCTTGTACTTTATGACCAGAAAGAATGTGAAGTTAGGTACTGAGGATTCTTGCACATGGATTATATTGCTTGCTATAGAAAGTTTAATTATCTGTTACTTTTGTGAAACTTGAAAATCCAGTAATTGCTACTTGGTACATTTTTGTTTTTTCCATTTCAACGAAAGAAACGATGAAGGGGGAGTAAAAGAGAAGAGCAGAAGAACCTACAAAATTGTATATAATGGTGAAATGTGTATATGATGCTTTGGCAGTTTACTACAAATTTCACATATTTTTTATTAGCGACTTATATTTCGCAGGGTATATTGCTTGCGGAAACACATTACTAAAAAACTTCCGAATTTCATTTCATAATGCGTGGAAGAAGATTTGTAGTGGTTTTATGATCATTCTGTATTTCCAACCCTTCTCTCTGTGTTCCTGTCTAGTGATTTTTCAGGATTTTTAGTTCATTTCTCTATTTGAGCATACCTTTTCTGTTTTCCTTGAGTCGAACTTAGGCTATGCTATTGAAGTCCTTAAAAGCCAACGGAAGTTGGCATGCCATTGAGACTTTATGGCCCTTTATGCCAAAGCATGCCAATATATTAGACTGAATTATTGTACAAATTTTGAATTTGTTTAAACTTCTGTTTGGAGAAAAACATCTTAATTCCTTTCCTCCTTATCTTTGCAGGCAAGGCTACATTGATTACTATAGGGGGACTTGTTGCTGGTGCAGTGGTGGGATCAGCTGTTGAAAACTGGTTGCAGGTAGATATCGTCCCGTTTCTCGGAATACACTTACCGGCTACCGTTGTTAGTGAATTCATACTCTTCTTGCAGTTCTTGGTTTCTCTGTATCTAAGGTAGGAATAAGAGAATGTGGAATGACTGGAATCTAAATTGTAGAACCTGTAATTATTCATTTGCATGATCATAATCAAGCTTTTCTAGGATGTGTATCATTGCATGTTGTACAAAACTACAAATAGAAGATGGTGAAACTTCCTTCCCTCTGAAAACCTGATAAAATATTATGCTCTAATATGTGATTATTATTTTTGTTCGATCACTTCTTTCATGCATTCCTACCAAATTGTTGGTGGATTTCTGTATGTACCTGTTTGTATTAGCCATTACCATTTGTAACATTACTTCCGACAATCAATTTATTCATATATGGTTACCATGGTATTTTTTTTTAAAATTCATACACGATAGAGTTACTACCGACAATCAATTTATCCATTCATTCACGTCTATCATCGAACACTTGGGTTTTGGTTTAACGTGTTGCAATGTGTTACGGACATAACCTATTGGTCAGGTTCTTATGTCGACTCTTGAAAAGGATGTATCCCAAACAAGTTAATTTTATACATGATGATTGAATCTAGATTTATTTGGTCATTAAACTACGCGACACTTAGAAAAGGGATACTCTCCAGTCAATTTATCCATTCATGTAATGATTTGTTCAAAATAGACGACCTGCGTATCAGTACACTAGCTATATGATCCTAAGTGCCGAAAGACTTTGGATGGGAGTTCTCGCGGGATCTAGTGAAAGTTATAATCTATCCCCACAACTCAACTAATAGTGTGGTATTGCGCCCTTAGGCTCTGAATCATTTCTTTCTGTCTTAGATATTTTACCATCCATTTGATCTCAATACTTGCACACGTAGACCTAACGTGAGTTTAAAAGAATGTCGCTTACACCATAATAGCTCCAATTGTTAGCTCAAGGTAAGGAGATGGTGGAGACCTGACATCAAATCATTTCCCCTAAAAATATAAATAAACGTACTAAATATGACACCAATGGATGCTAGAATGTCTCAATCCGGGACACTTTGTAAAGGACTGCAATGGTCATTCTACAAGCGTGTCCTTGTCTAATATTACCTGGTTGCGTCACTATTCCCCACTCGATTGTCCCTGCATAATGCTCCCAAGGTTTGATATACCATCGGGGTTGCCTATCCAATGAATTATGATCATATCTGCTTGATCCACTATTAAATTATAATCAAAATGATATCATGGTCTATGATAAGTCGTGTCATCCTCCCCACTTACTATGTCGATGTCTTCATCAACACTGAACTACATCTTAATCATCTTGTTATATAGAGTTGACCATTCTCATATGATCCATTACTTTTCCTTAAGAATTAAGGTTGTGGTTCATTTAATGGGACATCCAAAACCATAGCTTTGGGTAGAGTACACCCACTTACCTCACATTGTTATCTTGTGTGTTGTTCTTGAGTTGATGCTTTTAAGATTGTAACCTTGAGGAATCTCCACTGTTATGTACTTCGCACTTTAAACAACATTACATCTTTAAAATCATATGATGAATTTCTTGGAGTGTTGCCCTTCGTGGACCTACCACTTTATGGCAGCTCCGGAGATGTGTCACGCATGATAAGGTCTAGACTAACCACTTCCGATGGCACTATAATGGTTCTAATCTATGAGAATTAGAACATGTTAGACATATCCCAACTGAAATTATATCGACCCCTTCCATGAATACATTGTCCAAACATATTCAACTTGATCAACTAGTACCCAACAATAGCATCCTCGATAAGAGCCAAAAGCTCCCTTTGAACCAATACCCAATTCAGGGTGAGGCTTGTTCTAGCACAAATTTTATGACAACCTTGAAAAAATTCAATTGGCTTTACCCACATCATAGGCCATATTTGATCACCCTAGATATTGTCTTATGCTCAAAGTTGTAGTTGAATTCACTATGAACTCTTATTACCTAACTGTCTTATTGTGGGTTATGACTGAGTGTTGTAATCTTTAGAGAGTAATCTTTCACAAATTTAATACCCACTTGGTTCTCTTCTAACACCAATTGAAAAAGTTCCCAATGTTATTTCAAAGCTGAGCTATAAATCATGATGTCATCCAAAATAGAAAACCATCAACTCTTTTATAACAATAATGAAATATATTTTTCATTATTAAACACAGAAACACAATCAACAAAAACACAATCAACAAAAACATTGGTTAACACAATATAATAACAAGAAATCTAAATGTCCATACTTAGGTATAAAAGTAGTTTTGGGTGTGTTTTGGATTCTCTTTGTGATCCAAATTGGTGAAATTCTCTCTCCAAGCATAATATTCTCCTTTATTCAATCTCGTGACATCGTGGTCATGAAAACAAAACTATGTTTTTCTATATTTAATGCATAACATTCTCTTCCACTTGATCTCGTAATACTTTTAATCAACCATTTAGATGGTATGTCAAAATGAAGATAGTTTTCTTTAGGTAGTTGGAAAAGAATATTGCAAAATCACACAGTTAGTACTGACATGACAAATTAAAAATAAAATCAGCAAGTGAACAACGAAAAATCGTGTCGTAGTGAAACCTTTGCCTTAGGAAAAAATCGTCCCGATGTGTGCAATTGCTTCAATAGGCGGATTGTCCACCGAGGTTAACACGATCGCTCCAAGAATTCATACACCCGAAAACCAGAGTGGACTGCCGACGGTATTGCTCTTCTCTTCACCGGAAAAATGAATTAAACTTTAGAGTATTGAGAAGAATTGTGAGTAGTTGAGAAGCTAAAATTGCCTCTCTATTTATAGGCTGAGCTTAGGGACAAAAACGTCAAAGTAAAAATTAGAAATAAATCTGATTTTAATTTTTCAATCTCGTGACATCGTGGTCATGAATACAAAACTATGTTTTTTTTTATATTTAAGGCATAACAATCTCTTCCACTTGATATCGTAATACCTTACTTCAACCATTTAGATGGTCTGTCAAAATGAAAAGATAGCTTTCTCTAGGTTGTTGCAAAAGAATACTGCAAAATCACACTATTAGTATTGACATAGCAGATTAAAAATAAAATCAACAAGTGAACAACGAAAAATCATGTCGTGGTGAAACCATTGCCTTAGAAAAAAAATCATTCTGATTTGTGTAATCGATTCAATAGGCGAACTGTCCCCCAAGGTTAACACGATCGCTCCAAGAATTCATACACCCTAAAATTAGAGTGGACTGCCGACGGTACTGCTCTTCTCTTCACTAGAAAAATGAAGTAAGCTTTAGAGTATTGAGAGTAATTGTGATTATTTGAGAAGCTAAAATTGCCTCTCTATTTATAGGCTGAGCTTAGGGACAAAGTGAAAATAAGAAATAAATCTGATTTTAATTTTGTTTAAATAACTGTCATAAACAAGTGAACCGCCACAAAGCAGTCTTTCTGTAATTAACTTCTATAACTGACACAATAAAACAGCAAATCATTATATACGATCACGACCACGTTCCGAGTCGGGCTCTATCACTCAACAAGTAAGGGAATAATAAACATTATAAATACCCGTGCCACTCGTATTTCCCACTCAATGTGAGATAGTGTCTAAGCATCACCAACACAGGTCATCTTGATTATCTCATACAATCCGTCCAAAACTTATGCTTGATGACTCTCTAATCCTACTTTGTTTTGGTCTCAAAATATCAGATGTGGAGTAAGATTTGAACTCTTGCAGGAAACAAAGCATCTTGACTCTTTCTCACATTCATCCATGATACCCAATTGTAAGATAACAAAGATTTTTCACATAGTCATGAGTTATGTCTCAAATTGAAATAGTTTTCCTTGCCCTCTTTTGACATTGCATTCCACAATCACAAAAAGGAAATGTTCCTCAACTATAATTTTTTTCATTATGAGTTAATAGAACACCCTCAACTATGAATTATCATTATAATATGATAGCATCACATACTTCACAAGAAAATTTCAAAGTTCAAGGCCTCTTTTATTAAATCACCATCTAAGTAGTGGCCTCTTTCTTCTTTTTTCCGTAAAATTTGATTAAACATGATCGTATGTCGATCCAAATTTAATTCTAATGAAAATTCTTTTATCATATGACACAATTTAACTAAAAAATGTTTTACCATAAGTTAATTGCCAGTCTCCCTCTTTCGATATCTTATTCCTAAATTCAATCTTAATTTATGTCAGCATGTTAATTATGAGATATGAGTTCTGAAGTTCATTTCTCTTCTTCTAGTTGTTTTGTTCAAGATCCTTAAACAAAATAGATTATTGGGACATGCTAGTTTGAGCTCATTTCTCCTTAAATATTTCCTTCTTCAATAGATGTTGCATCATCTTTTGTTATTCACACTTGTTATATTTTGACCTAAATTATAATTAGTGATTAAGTCGAATTTTATTATAATTATAGTGGTTAAAGATAGCTTAGTAATTAAGTTTATTTAATAAAATAAATATTTATTTTAGGCAAGAATTCTTATAGAATATGAGTTCTTGGTGGCCAACTATTTGACTCTATAAATAGAGATTATGTCTTAGTTTTTAGAGTCATTAGCGAAGCCAACCTTATACGAGGGGTGTCATATGACACCCCAAAGTTTTTGAAATTTACAAATTTAACACCTTAAAATATATATTTTTTAAATTTGACTGCCCAAAATAAATATTTTGACACGTCAAAAATATTTTTTAATTAAATTTGACACCTCAAAATAATTTTTCTAACCCCCCTGTTTAGCGTAATATAAAAAATAATTATTTTGGAGAGATATAATCTTTTTTTGGAATCTATGCAACTTTAGGGGTTAATGTTACAGAGATAGTTTTGTAGGGACGTTGGAATAGTATTTTAGATATACTGGGTTTTGGACATGTATTTGCACTCTTCATGTTTTCTAAATTTATAGTGAATTATTGTTCATTTCACCTATGGAGGTAGACAAGGTTGAACCATGTTAAATCTCGTCTTTTATGCATGTCTTATTTTATGTTGATATTAATTTGGTTATTTTTTCGCTTCCAAATTCCTAACAACTGGTATCATTGGCTATGGTTCGAGCTATGGAGTTTTGAAGGAATTTGTTAATTGATACGGATTTTGTTAGCGACTTTGGAGACATGTATGAAAAATTTGATACAATGAGTTTTTAGTCACAGGGGAGTAATTCCTGATTGATCTAGTGATACTTCGATG